CGTTTGGCACTCCCATATACTGAACGCTTGCTGGACCCAACTCACTGCTTGCATGTTAGTCTAGAGTCGTCCCGTTCACACATGCACAGCGCGGTGCGCCGTTGATTTCATGCAGTTGCCTTTGCTATCGATTCGAGTGACATAAACAAGCTTCACTTTGGAGTAGTAACATGAACGAACGGCACTCGCGTTGGTGAGCATGTCATGGCGTGATGCTGCTCTTCGCGTAAACGATGTTCACGAGGAGTGTTACTTCGTACAAGGGTAGCAGGCTACAGACGTCTCAAGGTATGCCACACATTCGCTAACTGTGCAGGCATCAAAGCGTGCAGAGTGCCCCGCTAAACCAACTGGACAGAAGCGTTGAATTCAGGTGATTTCAGTCTGTTTCTGCATAACCGCTGGTTGCCGCTCGCAGAGCCACAGTTAAAAAACACCACTGCTAACTGTTTGTTTAGGACGGCGCTATGCATATATTTTACAACGCTCCTTAGGTGATAGCTTCTATTATCAAAGTTATCTGGAAACTGAACGATATAAAGTAGACGTGCGCCTTTGATGAACCGTAGCTTCCCCAGCGACCCTTAGATTTTTGTTTTGCTAGTGTTCTAGTATGAGGTTAATTATACTTCTAGTTCAATGCCATTTCATTTCCAGCTCCCGTCTACTGCACTGCTCCTTATGGCTACCAAAAAGAGGAAAGCGGATACCGAGTGTCGCGTTTTCAAAGAAGAATAGAGGATAAAATACTTCTTTGTGGAAACTATGGAACGAAAACAAGTTGCGTAATATTCAGCGAAAGTGTTGCCGTATTGAAAGAGTACACTCTTTGGAGTCATTACGAAGTAATACACATAACAGCATATCCAAAGTTTTCGGGGAAATAATGCCTAGAAAAAGTGGATCCATGAGATGTGATTAGAAACACAAAAAGTTCTCGCCTCGCAAAACTTCTGTGGGTATGAAGATTTCACTCATATTTGTTACAAACTAGTACATAAGATGGTAGGAGGAAGAGAAGCGATCACGGATAGCGACTTAATCAGTAGATAATGCAAGGTGAGAATGACTTGTGGCCTGAGAAAGCCGATGTGTTCTCAACTATCCACCTTTCAGTAAGTGCTGTTGTGCGGAGAACAGAAGAAATTGGACAACATAGTAAAGCGGATACAAAAGAAAGTTTAAAACGTTTCTGTGGTATTCTCTGGAGCCGGATGAGTCCATGAACTTCTCGAATAAGTCACAACTCGTGTTCGTACGTGGAGTTAAGTTGAAGTTTCTGATTCCAGTCTGCAGCATGCATGGAAAGACATTTGGAAAGGATATTTCCGTGAAACTGAGCAACTTTTACAAAATTACTACCTTCCGTGGAATTGACTTTGAGGTGTTACAATTGATGGAGAGAGAAACATGGCTGGAGTGAGGAGAGGTCTGGTGAGGCAGATCAGGACTCAGTTAGAATATTTGAAAATTATGGCCGCACTGTTCATACACTGCATCCCACATGGACTTAGATAATTCTTGTGTACTGAAGCTGGTCATTTCTAGTGCTAAGTTCATTCCGGAACATGCTCTCAATCACTATCAGTTCCAGTCTTCATGGAAGTTATTGCTATTCAAGTCTCATATGTCTTATTACACATCAGTAAGGTGACTCATTGGTTGTAGAATCCTGTTTCGCTTTTCCAAGCTCCGAAAGGAAATAGCTGTTTTCGGCACTGAGGAAAGCAGATTTGACCTGCAGCTCTCACATAATACCTGGTTGTCAAAGTTAACATTTATGGTCGAAATCACATCATGCTTGAAACTGCAGAAGGGTAACATCACTTGTGATTTCTACAGGATCATCAACAAGGTTGGGAGATATCGGTAATTGAAACACCACTGGAAAGAGAAAATTGTGCTCATCTTTACTGTTTCACTGAGTTTAATGCTACGATCACCGAAGATGCCTCACTTGTTTCTCCGAGAGCGCAATTATTCGTGAATTGAAGAAACCTTTTCAGACGTTGACAGCAATGAGAGCAAAATTCGGCTGTTCCAGAATCCGTTGGATCGTAAAAGTGAATATGCTTCCAGTTGAACTACAGTTGGAGCTAATTGATTCGTGGGCAAATGACTTGTTGAAACAGAAGCACAGTGAAGGAAAAGTTTTTGAACTTTGCCGCCGCTTACCTGATGTTGTAATCCCGGGACTGAAGAAGTTTACCACTGGTATGGCGGCAGTGTTTCGGACATATGACGTCTGTGAGCAAACAACCTCAAAAGTGAAGTAGGTGAAGTCAACTCATCGAACGAGATTGACTGATGAACATTTGAAAGTAACTGTCCAGATTGGGTGGAGTCATTCACAACCAAACATTAATCATATGTGAAAACCAAACTGTAGTTTCACAAATCCCACTAATCCTTGTGCTGCTTAGTTAGTATCATCCGGATTTACGCACAAAGTATGTGAGATAACCATCTTTTTGTGTGCATGGGTCCGCCGATAATTTTATTTGATAGGTATGTTGATTTTTTTGCTTTTCATACATGGCACGCCATTCACCCATGTCTAGCATGGAATTCTGAAGTTAAGTTATTCGTTCTTTTTCTCAGAGCTTTCGTTTTGGCCTGAGAGTGTTGCGCAGAGATCTAATCCGGCTTACGATCATCACTTTGGTGGTTATCCGGCACGCGGAGAAAAAAGTTTGGCGATTCCTGCTCTAGAGTGATGCACAGTAGTGGAATTGATGGTACAACGAAACTTAATGTTTTAGGGTAGTAGAATGATACCATAGCTTGCCCAGTAGCAAGTTCAGTCGGAGTGACCGATTGGTGCGATTCCTAGCAATATTGGAATTGAATACTGAGAATGGAGAGACAGAGAGAGAGAAGATAAAAAGCCGTGTTACTCCATCGTAGGTGGATCAGGCACATGCACGGAAGCACCTCACTGATTCCTGCGCCGTGGCAGCAAAGTGCAGCTGCACCACATCTTATTCGGGTAAGCTACGCCCCTTACACGTGTAGTCCGCAAAGTGTGCGTCAAGGGAATGTATTAAATTCCGACACCGATCTTGCCTCGACTAGCATCTCCGGCAACTTGTTGTAATCTTTCACCACTCGACGCTCAAAGCATGGAGGGTGAGCGACACGCTTCAAATCTCGTACCTTTAGTTTGTACCGGTGTCCGTGTGTATTGCTTGATGCGCGAATGTGCAGCAGGGTCCCCAACATAGGGAAGTGGTCTAAGTGCAGTATCCGGTGCGTCATAAGGAGATTAACTCGAAGCAAACGATATGACAGGGTATAAAGCCCTAGTTCCCTACATCAGTCCTCGCACCATATACCCGTAAACTGGAGATGAGTCGGGTAGCTACATGCTAAACCCGTTCCAGTTTCTGCACCTCACCTATTGTCATCGGACAATAGGTGGGTGAGCCGCACTTAAGCACCAGACTTATCACGGAAATTAGTACATCATACGATCAGAAGCGCCATGCGTCCTAACACCGGGGACAAGCATGAATGGAGCCATGTATCTTGAAGTTTGCATCGATACATATGTCCATCGCTGGCCAGCTACCGAAGGGTCAAAAATAGCTCATTGATATCGCTTGTGAGTGAATATTGCGGCGCGAAAATAGCCAACGGTCGGCGCACGATTTCTGCAAATACTCTCCACTATCAGTGCGCTGGCAATGACGACCAAACATCCCATTTGGTAGAGCTTCCGAAAAGCAAGGATAATCTGCCACCGCATTAATAGCCATTTCGGCAACAAATGTACCTGAGCTAGTGGTAACGCAAAACAGTAGTTCGTGCCGGGCGTCTTTGACAGTATCAGGACTGCACCCGTTCGGAATACAGAAAGAGACCACAAACTACAGCGTCAAGTGCACTGTCATGTGCGCAACGCTAGCTGACGTCGAACGAACCGGGTGGAACACGACCAAATTGGGAGGATTCGACCGAGAAAAGGATGCCGTTGCGGTTGCAGTTGCTTCACCGGATGTGTGCAATCAGTAGCGAAAGGATACACCATTTACAGTTAGGTCGACAGTCGTATGAGAATCGTGGATACTAGGTTTGAAAATGCAGCATAGATCAACGCCTAGAATGTCAAGTGTGGGCGTAAGTGCAGTCAGTTGGCCTACTGGTTTCAGGGCACGGGCATCGAACGAAGCCAGAGGAAATCGTCAGTGTGACCTGATAAAAGATTGTTCATGTCAGGAGGCCAGTGTGTTCTGTGCGTATAATGTAACACTTGGGAGGGCTCCGGCAGTATTTCAGCTGCCTTCACGCAAGGGACATTGAATGCAGAATTAGCTATATAGGTAGGGGTGAGAAAAGTAGGTAGAAAAACAACTAAACGGATTATCTGTAGGGACCAATTTTCACTTATTCGCGCTGCAAGACGCAGAAAATAATTCAACACGTTTGAAACTTTGTGGGAGCTGAAGCTGGAAGAGGCTGAACTTCAAGGAGGTATGTATGGTTGTACCTAGATAGTTATATTTATTGCAACGAGCCAAAAACTAGACTAGAAAATGACTAGGTTCCATATCTAAATTCTGTAACTCAAAAATCTGGAGCTAAAGCAGTTGCATCATGGGAGACCAGGAGACTGACCAATCTGGTGGTAGTAAATTACAGGATAGCAAGGATATATCACCGAATGTGGTTTGATTGGACCTAAGAGGAAGGAAAACCATCGCACCACACCAAGGTTCAATCTCGTTGAGATGGAATAGTTCACTGTGTGGTAGATACGACTGCGTACAGTAACATGACATGGGATTCCTTGCAAAATTGTGATTTGTCAATTGGGACAAAATTATTCTAGACACCAGATGGATAATGGTGGAGCAAAGAAACTCAACAAAGACAAAATACCGCTTACTTAGCAATGGTCAGCTAATAAGGTGCTATTTACTGGTTTCCACGGCAAAATTTACGAGGACCACTGATGAAACGAACACAATGAGGCAATATTCTGCGATAGTTGGTCATACCTGTTCGTAGAAAGCTATCGTCAGGTCAGCACCAGCCTTGTTCTTGTACATTTCGTACAAACCGAAACGAGGGAGCGAGTAAGTGGCCTGTCTGAGCAATGAAGCCGACAGACCGTTATACAACCCCAGTAGCCCGTCTGATTGCACCACTCGAATGGCGACGCGAATGAAGGTGGGATTTGCTGCACCCGGAGTCTGTGGAGGGGAAAAATTCGGTACTCATGTAGACAAATAGGGTAAGTTAAAAACGGACTCGAGAAAGTAGGCTGAAGTAAGTGCTAATGTTGATGTCTAGTCTCGCCTAGACTGGGCTGAAAGGGACTGGTGACGAGTCGTGTGGGTTTCAGACAATGCAGTATACCAGACGATTCTATAGTCGTGCATACCACAGCCACTTAGTACAGAAGACGTTGAGGCGCCCAACTGCAGAAATATATAAAACTAGATGAGAGTGTGTACGAGTATGTATTTGTTACGGTTAGACCAATCCTAATCACAATGATCATTGATCAACTGCTATCGATCATTGTATTGAACATTCCAACATACCCAGAACAGTGTTCGCATTCGGCTTCATGGGCTGACGCAGTACTGTTGTCTAACTTCAGGCCTGTGGCCCAATTTGGCCAAATACATGGATTCGCGAAATGTGTCCATTCTCTTAGTATCGGGTTGCAACAGTATTGGATACGCCCACAGTAAGAAGTGCCGCGTAGTGTTTCCGAGTTCCCTTCGCTTGATGAGCAGGATCAATAGAATACGGACAATTTCAATCTAGACGAAAGCACGCTATACGAATATATTAATAATGCACACACAGTTACATGAGACAAGCTCTATTCAGCATGATTATATTCTAACAGTTGATTTTCAGTTTGTGCATTACAAGTTGCTAGGAAATGTTACTGTTTGCTTTTTGGAATAAATGTGGTATCACAAGTGTAGCTGGGATGTCGACTCATGCTGAAGTCCTCAGGTGAGAGTTGCTATAGTGTGCATCAGTTGAGTATACTTGTGGAGGACATTTGTGGGCGACACAAATTACTCAGCATTATGTGTAAAGCCGGGGTTGTGAAGTTCAACGAACTCAAGTGGATGTCTATGGTGTATTTCGTTTAGAAAAGTGGTAGGCGGTAATTCTGAATGAATATTTGCCTATGAAAAGCGCAGAAAGAAGAGTTGGCAGTTCGTATTATCATCTCAGTACCAATATCAATAACCGCTATGAATAAATATAGTTAACAGTGCGTGTGACCAGACAAACTTTAGGTGCAGAATGAATGGCGGAAGTTCACTCCTATGTCCAGGTCAACGTTGGCTGACAAATAATGGTTTTCGAACGCACAGAGCTGGCTCCGTCCGGCTTATTGCAACAGTCGCAGCAAACAAAAAGAAGCGGGGGTTAGCTTGATGCTGAGCCGAACCTCATCCGGTGACTCGAGACCACCAGGTGTTTTCCCATCGAGGAAGCAGCGTAAGGCTAATCCGCACTTCCTTTTGTTTGCCGAAGCTGTCGAAATAGACTCGGCAGATTTGAAAACAATTGTTTATCAGTGGAGGTTTACGGTGCTGCTCTCTCCTATCCCCGTTCGAAGACCCGCCAATCATTTATCAGCCTTAGATTGCCCTGAACGTAGGGGTTATCATAAAACACGGACCTTCAGGGACTAACGGTTTATTCCACAAAGCCAGCTCAGCGAAAACGACAGCATAGAAGCGTGTAGAAATCTCTATGTGAATAACTGGGACATTTGCATTATTAACGAGGCTTTTGCATTCATGAGATTATTCCTTTGAATCAGTTAATCAAACGCGCTCCAGCGTAGCCAAATAAGAACCAATCAGCGCGTGGGCGAAATATGTGAAGGCGTCTAAGCAACCGTTCTGTTCGCTTGCGGCGAACCAGCCGCTTGCTTGGTCATATAAATTTGTGTCGTTCTTGTGCACGCACAATCCCATCACACGGGTGAACTTCCGTCATGCACTCTAGGCCACAAACTTGTCCGGTCGCACCCACTGTTAGCCATATTTATGCATATCGGTTATTGTTAATGGTTCTGAGGACACAATGCAAAAATGAACGCAACTTCCAGCTTTCTTCTTCTTTCCATGCTTTTCAGATTTGTATATGAGTTAAGATACCCGAGTAACATTCGCATGAAGACAGTGGGCCCGTAATTAGGATTGAACAGGGTGCTCCCATTGGTGACAGGGTAATATTCTGTGGCTGGTAAAACGGGGGGACTTATGGCTCTGCAAAGTGGAACCATCAGACGAATGAATCACTGACATGAGCAGCGTAGTGGTAAGAATCGCAATTTAACGTGATCGTGTTCCGATCATGATTGGACAGAATCAATCAAATGTAGTTCGGTGGACGCCGTGATCACACTGTAGCCGGTGATAAAGTATATGAGATGGACGACAACTTATACGCAGTTTAAAAATGGCTTATGCATCAAAAAGTCCAGGCAGCATATTTCAACACTTGTGATAACCGAAACGATGTTAGCCAAGAGGATATGGACAGAAAATGGAAGGGCACATGGACGTTTCGCTAAGCTTATCAAATACCTACAGGTAGGTATTTAACAGCCGAGACAAACCAAGACAGGATTCGTCAAACTCGATATTCGAGAGAATTTCGAATTTTGAGTGCTAAGAATTTACCTGCATGCAGACTTTGATCAAATCTAGTGGATGTGTGATTCCGGCCGCCAATCCACTTGCCAACCCACCAAAATACCAGCGGGACACTCGTTTGTACTTTGCGGGTTCAGTTGTTATGGTCATTGGCAGAGATGGAGCCCCACAGCTGAAATACATAAAGAGATGAATAAAGAGAAGAAAAGCGCATTTGGCGTGAAAGCGCACGCTGGATCGTCGCTGTTTGTGCTACACGTATGATCTATGGGGATATTAAGCATTTAAACGTTAGTCTCAAAAGGGGTAGCAAGATAGCTTAATGAGGCGCTAGCAGGATAGTTACCAAACGCTAACTGGTGAACATCGGCACAACGCACTCATTGATCACACCAAATATGGTCGACGCTTCACAGATAAAGTTTAAAGAGAGCAAGTCAAATAATTTGTTTGTAATGAAGTGATCATCTCGCTGAACTATGAGATAAAAGATTGGCAGCACTGTATCGGGTTACAGCCTAACCTTGACGAATAAGCCTACATCTCACTGTCATTTTGGAGAATGGATAGAATGGATAATACTATCACCGTAATAAATGGTAACATCAACGACCAGATGCTTGTCCAAGGAGTGTACGCAAAGATCGTGGGTTGGCGCAGAAGAGGCAAGGGACACTCTTGGTCAACATTGATGTCAATGCGGTTAAGCTTGATTCACTGTGGCAAATCGTTTGGTAGCCGCTGTTGGACATGGCAATCACGTTTGTGTTGGAAGAAGGTGGTATGTAAACGTAACACTTGCAGTCGGTACATAAACAGAGATACCGATTAACATTTCGATTAGGAAAATTATGGACTCAAAACGGCCCCCTTAGGAGTTTAGTAGCATGATTAGAGAATGACAGCAGTCGCCTTTGATAGCTTCAAATATGAGTTGGTTTGAACGAATGATTGCACAGATACTGAATATCAATTGCAATCTAATCACAAAGACGAATAGCACACATTCCTTGGGATCCATTCAAGCAGAGTACCCCCATCATTACGGATGGATGCAAAGGCGATACGGTAAATGCCAGGAACCATCACCAGAGCACTGAAGAATATGGTGGTCGAATATGGGCTAAAGCGATACCATGTGGTATGAGTGCCTCGGAGACAGTATAGATCAAGCCCAATCGAGTACAATATGAAGTCAAGCGTCATCTTTTGATGAATCTGACACAGAGCAAGGGCACTGGAAAACCCATTGCGAATTTGTATCCTAAATCCAAGAAACAACCTAGTGCGGGGGATTCAGATCTGGTCACCTGGTGATTCATTTAGGAAAGAAAAGTATGTGACGGGAAGGGAAACTAGAAAATGTAATGGGCACGGAGAAGCGAGTTTTGAACTGAAGTGTATTTCGAGAGAAGGGTTTTACCTTAGTGCACCTACCTTGAGCCTATCATTAAAGTGCTGAAACCAGCAAAAGGTGAGGTAAAAGGCGAGTTATTCGAGGAATCGCGCATGGAGTCTGACAAACGTCTGACCCATAGCAGAGTGGGAGCTCGGACAGCGGATAGGCAGTATGGAACTGATATTGTCGAAACGTAATCCGAGCAAGATGGGTTTCCAAAGGATCCTGGATGGCGCCCCGTTGTATGTCATGACACACGATACTGGTCAAGTAGTGTGTTATGGTAGTGTACACCAAGCCAGAGGAAATCGTGCGGGCAAGAAAGGCGAATCCCAAAAGTACGCTGGCATCGAGCATTGAAAGATGTGTGATGTTATGTGAGGAGAATGTTTCACAATTGTGGTGTGTTCTTGCACCAGGTGATAAGCACAATGTTCTGTTCTGCAAACTAATCGCGTTTCATGAGTTTAGTGAGAACATTTTGACTGTACATGCCCGCTGGTAGGCAGCGTCGCAGCTAGCTCGGAACATGCTGTTTGTTCACTTCTGGTGAGCAGGTGCAAAATTCGTACACATTTCGATATTGTCCGGCTTTCGGGTTTTCCGAAACTTAAGCTTTACTCGAGAGTTAGATTGGTCCCACCCTAACGTCTCTGTTCCCATCGCAATGAGGCTGGACCTTACCGTGGTGCGATGGTTTGCGTGCCTCAGAGATCCATTGAGCTATGCTGGGTGGTGCTTTTTTTGCACCTTTAGAGCCACTCATACCAGATTGGTCAATGGTTAGAGGCCAGACAAACTCAGCCTCCTGGTCCTCCAGGTTGGGGGTTGGAATGGGGGTGGCTCCTCATTTCATAAAACGGGCTCTGTAATCCAGTGCCAAAACCCGCTGCCTTGCGGTAAGGTTTTTGAACCAAAGGCTTTGGTTGAGAACCCTAATCGTTCTCCTGTCTAGGCCTGGGCAACCTGACATTATTCTGCCCACGCAATACAATGAACCTTTCCTACAACAATTTCTTGATGCTCTGGCCGTCGCAGAGGATAATAAACGGCGCCCTATCTGCTGCATCGATCAGGGTAAATAAAGATATGGATGCTACTGCTCAGGCCTTCTCGTCTTCTTTTACCTCTTCTTACGCTTCTTCATCCTTATCGTCCCGCTCCAACTTTACTTATACCCCCCATTTTCAATCCCCCAATTCTTGGCCCTCCCCCAGCTTACTTCAGTGGTCGATGGTCTTTTAATTTCAAATCACACACAATCGCAGGGCCTCGCTCCAATCCAGTCGACAAGTCCATGTTCAACCAAGCGGACAACGTCAGTTCATCCGTTTCCCTTTGGAGTCCTCGTGTCTCGCTAAGATTGGCATGCCTCAACGTGCGCACTTTGCTGCAGATTGGCCAACAGGCAGCACTTGCCCGCACACTAGAGACCCTATCGATCGATATTTGCTGTTTATCAGAAACCCGCCTGCAAGATTCGAGCTCCGTGCTTACCCTGAGATCCCCCACATGCGACACTGGCGGCACATTCTCATTGCGCCTATCTGGCGATGATGCAGCTTCAAATGCCGGTCAAGCCGGCGTCGGCATTGTTTTGAGTCCCCGGGCTGAAGCTGCCCTGCTTGATTGGATCCCAGTAAACAGTAGGATGTGCGCCGTTAGATTAGCTGGCTCGTTCCGTGCTTCGAAGTCGCGCGGGGACAAACGTTGCCTGTTTGTCATTGCGGCCTACGCCCCTACAAACTGTAGCACTGATTCGGTAAAAGATGATTTCTACCAGCAACTTCACGAGCTCCTTCGTTACAGAAGAAGCACGGATACTGTGGTGCTGGCTGGCGATCTAAACGCCCAAGTCGGAAAATTGTCCTCTGATGAGCTTCATCTGGGCGGCCAACATGGTGTAGGCTCCCGTAATGATAATGGTGAGCGATTGCTACAGCTGTGTGAAGATGCTCGCCTGTTTCTCGCGAGCACTAATTTTCGACACAGCACCCGCAGAAGTGTGACTTGGCGGCCACCAGCCTCGGGCCAGTCATGGACGCAAATCGATCATATCGCGATCAGTTACCGCTGGAGAGGCTGTGTCCAAAACTGTCGCTCGATTTGGAGCACGAGCGTGGACTCTGACCACGCACTTGTATGTGCCGACCTCCTGGTGCGTTTCGGTGGACGTCCGCGACGTCGATGTGAACGGATTGACACTAGCCAGCTGGCGAAGCCAGATGTTCTGAATGTGTACCAAGATGCGCTGACATCTGGGCTGAGTAAGCGCCCACTAAACACCGTTGAAGATCACTGGTCGCACACTCGTCAAGCGTTGCTATTAGCAGGCATGTCTTCATGTGGCAAAACAAATTGCAAAACCGGACATTGGGTCTCTACACAGTCTCTGGAACTTATGGATGCTCGCCGACGTATTCCGGCTGGAAGCGAATACAATGAATCTCGCAAAAATCTCAGGGCGAAACTACGTGCTAGCCTTAAGAAGGACCGCGAAACCTGGTGGTCCCATCGTGCATCTGAGATGGAAACAGCCGCTGCCATTGGTAATCATCGTAAGTTATACCGTCTGATACGGGCAACAGGCAGCAGGAGACCTGGTGTTAGCGAGACCATACGCGACGAGAGTGGGCAGATGATCCACAGCCTGTCAAAACGCTTGGAGCGTTGGGCTGAACACTTTGCTATGCAATTTAACCAACCTGAGTTATCACTTTCTTCGGGCATTGAGCGCCCTTCTCCTTGGGCCGTCTCCTTGGATCCGCCCTCACGCGCAGAAGTCGAACGTGAGATCAGGCTGTTGAAATTGCATAAGGCCGCAGGAGCAGATACTATTCCTCCAGCCCTCTTCAAGTTCGGTGGACCTGCTCTAATAGGTGATCTACACGAGTTGCTAGTAAAACTTTGGGAGCAGGAGACAGTCCCGACAGACTGGAACCGCTCCGTCATTGTCCCAATTTTCAAGGGAGGCTCCCGTTTGGTATGTGGCAATCATAGAGGGATCAGTCTGATTTCGATTGCCTCTAAATTGCTTGCCTCTCTCATTCTCCACAGACTGACTGGCACTCGTGAAAGCCAAATTCGTGAAGAGCAAGCCGGATTTCGTCGAGGTCGGGGCTGCATCGACCACATCTTCACATTGCGTCAAGTTTTGGAGCACCGCCATGTTTATTGGCGACCCACCGTTGTCGTGTTTCTTGACATAAAAGGTGCCTTCGACTCAGTCGATCGATGTGCCCTTTGGGACTGTCTGTTGAGGAAAGGTGTGCCTGATAAATATGTAAACATTATCAAAGCGCTGTACGCACATAGTTCGGGCAGGGTGAGGGTTTATGGCAAACTCTCGCCACCCTTCAGTATCACCAGCGGTGTGAGACAAGGATGCCCGCTGTCACCTTTCCTCTTCAACTTCGCTATTGATGAAGTCATGGAAACAGCGTTCGCTGGACACGACCTAGAAGGTGTGGAGCTACTCCATGGTGAGCGACTTCTTGACTTGGAGTATGCAGACGATATTGCCCTAATCTGTGACGGCTCCCAAACATGCCAAACAGCACTGAACCGATTAGCACTGGCTGTCAGTCGTTTTGGGCTATGCTTTGCTCCATCAAAATGCAAAGTACTTCTCCAAGATTGGCAGGGACCCAATCCTGCGCTAACGCTTGGTGGTGATCTGCTAGAAGTCGTTCAGGAATTCAAGTACCTGGGCAGCTATATTAGCACCCGTGGGATTGAAGATGAGGTTACGAACCGTATAGCAAAAGCTCGAG